ATCTTTTGATTATGCAATTAAAATGACTGCTGATCAGTTTTTTATAGTAATAATATTGTTCATTTGTTGCAACAATCTCAATCATGATTGATAATTAAGTCCCAATTCTAACTAAGCAAATAAAAATTAAGAGGCAGAAAATCGTAATCTGAAATATAGGAAAATTACAAATGCTAAATCAAAGTTGAGTGTGTGTTTGCCCTGGTATTATTGCAAATAAAGGGAGGAGACATCAAGGGGCAATAAAAAACTGAGTTGAAAAAAACTGAGTCACAGCACCATGGACAAAAGGAAAAAAAAGCAACAAAAACAAACAAGCAAGTCCACAAAACTCTTTAGAAAAAAAAACTGAGCAACGGAAACCCAATCAAAAGAAGAAAAATAAACTCATGAAAAGTTCTATATAATCATCAAACCTTTTATGAGTAATTTTCCTTCTGTATTTTATTCTATGGTGGAATATCAAAGCGATTATTGGTAGAATACAAAATTTAAAAAGATTGCCTGATGGAAAATAGAATTATACATTTCTGGTGGAAAATGGTAAAAATATTCCCTGGCGGAAAATGATTGTACAAATATGCTAGGTTGAAAATTAATAATGGTAGCTGAACCTGATAGAGATATATGTAAAATGTAAGACAGGTGGAAAATGGTAAAATTATGGTCATGATAGTTAGTGGAAACAGATCCCAGATTGAAAATGGTCAAGATGTAGTAAGGAAATTTAAGCTTTTCACCTGCATCTTCAGCATTAATTTTCTGGGAAGTTACTTAAAATTTAGACTATGATATCTAGAGGAACAAAAATTAGACACAAATATAATCAGCTCTACGCAACTCAGATATAACTGCCCATGACACAATTTTTGCCGTTACCACTCGCATATATAAAAAAAACTTGGTATAAGATTAGATTATCATTAGACTAGGAACTGGCTGTTAACCTGCTTAGCTAATTAGTTAAATTAGATTTTTATCAGCTTGAACACTTCTTTGTCTTCAGCAATTTAGCATTTTCTCTGTTTTTTTATGTTCAGAATATAAACTACCTCTAATTATTGCTAATTGCACAGTGAATTACAAATGCTTTAATGTAAGAATTATGTGAAGTTAATAGCCACTCAAACCAACTTTGTTTTACCATTTCATTTAAACATTCTGCTTATTCAAAGTTAGGTGATACATAACACTACAGGGAGATAACTCTGTAAAAATCAGCTGAACGTTTTAATCACATTCTATTGTCAAGGAAATTTAAGCTTCTCAATGATCAAAATTATTGTTTGTCAAACTGCTACATGTGCTATATATCCAATGAAATTTTTCCGATAAAGTGTGTGGTTCAAGTTTTTTGAAATTAAATATTTTGTCAAAATTTTATGAAAATTAAATGAGACAAATTAATTCTAGTCAAGGTGTTTGGTAACACCTTACTTAAGTGTTACTTGATCTCATATAAAAAGGGGTACAAAGGATTATCTATTAAAAGCTTTGAGAGATGCATGTTGAATAAATATTTTTTGCATTTATATTTTCTTTTCTAACATTCTTATTTTTAGTACTTTTTATTGGCTTTTAAAAACACCACAGGGTCGAAAAATAATGGGCAGTTCAGAGGACCTTTCATAGTATTTGAAAAGTCTTACTCACCCTTTCAATATTCCGAGTAATGAATCAAACAACTGTTATGTTTTACAAACTTATGTGCAATTGACTTTCAATTAAAGAATGGAAAATCCATGTAATTGTCATATAAAAGAACTGGGAATATAAAGTCAGGAAGAGAAAAATATCTTCTGGGCAGACAGGACATGTTACCAAGATCTGTATTATAGTAAGATGTATTGTACTGACAGATTCCAATCCTTCTTAATATACAAATCTTTGATGTTACTTAAAACTTGTTGCTAATTGCAAGTTGGATCAATGATTTGTATAGTAAGACTAAAAATCCTTGGTTGGATGTATAAATATTCAAACTCATATTTTTTGTATTTCCTTTAATACATTGTCTATTACTAATCTTTAAGCTGCATTAAATGTTATATTTACAGATCTAGAAAACATCAAATGTAATGGCTATATATAAAAATATCACCCTTTATACAAACGCACCTCTTATTGATTCAAATGGTTTTCTTGGGAGATTTAATTAATAGTTATTAACCAATCATTTTTTAGCTAACTGAGAACTGCATAAGATTTACATAATTAAAGATCATTAGCAGGAGTAACAAATGTTTTCAATTGCTATAAAAAAGATGATATTTTTTATTTACTTAAACAGGACATTCCCCAAATTTCCAACTCAGTTTCTGACCCCAGATGACCTGGTGTTACAGTCATCATAAAGTCATCTTCAGTTGATTCTGACAGATTCTGACAGTTACCTAGTTTCACACTTGACTGATTATATGAGGTTATATCTGCCAAAGTGGTATATTATTTTTACACTTGATGACCACACAGACAATAATGTGGATATAATTGACATTTATGGTCAAGTGTGTATTTTGCAGCTTTTTATCTTATTCAATTATACAATAATTTGTATACTCAAACTATGATCGTAAATCAACAGACATATTCTAGTTTGTCCATCAAAAGATTTGTAACCAGCTAATTTAGACTGTAAACATGTTGGTTTGTTTGAGTTCTAGATAAACATAATTTTGATTTGTTATCTTTTTTTCAAATTCAAGATATATATATATATATATAAAGAATAATGGTGTTTTTTTATTTCGATACATACTTTATCAACAAGAATATTAAGCTAGTCCACAAGAGCAAGCTGATATTTGGAACTGATGAAGTTATGATCAAAAAATAAAATGTCATTATTCCTTTTATCTGCAATTTATCTTAATAAAATGTTTTTTGGTTGAGAGTATGAAATAAAATGAAATAGTTAGTAAAATCATATTTATCCGACAAAATGTTGTGATAGTTGTTTGGTTGTACCAATGAAGTTCACTTTATTGATAAATTGACATGAATAGACATGAACTTGAAACATTGGTGTACTGATACATGACAACATATCCTTATGTTTTTGAGTATCAGCTAGGTCCTCTCTATGATCTTTAAAAGTATTAGGCAGTAAGATCAAAGTGAAAATGTACAAATGCTGACAATAAAGTGTATCCAGTATGTTTTCAAATTTTGAAATGCATACTGATTTAATGTGGTAAATGGTCTGAGTACACAGTTATTTCGTAGTGCATTTCTTTTAGACAATAAATGAAAATTAAAAAAATCCCACCTGCGCTTTCTCAATAATATTTTTACAGTGTGTTGTACTACTTTTGGGACAAATTATATCAAAATTATAGAAAACTTCATCGGCTCTAACTCAAAATATGGACAATTTCATGCTAAGGGGGTCTTCAAATCTTTTGACAGCTTCCGAAGTGCTAATTTTTAACATTTTTCAGCTGGACCAAATCACTACTTTACTTTAAAATTCATGACCCAAATTTTTTTACAGTGTCATTTCACCCCCTACTTACTATTTGAGTCATAAAACATGGAGAAATAAATTCGAAAGGGGTATAAAAAAAATCGACAAGTAACACACTGTCCACACTAGGGACTATATTTGTGGACAACGAAAATCAAAGGACGATAACTGTGTACCCGGACCAAATAGCATGTAATCCATGTATCATAACTTATAACCTGTGACTTATACCTAGTGTACCAGTAATTACATTATGAGTTTTGCATATTATTTGATGAATAAACATGTTCTTCTTTAAAACTATATTCTTACTTTCTTAATTTAAAGACATGGTTTCCTGATCATTCTAAATTATACAGTTACTGCTGCAGTATGTAAAAAAATTACCAAAGGTAATTACCAGAGGTAGTTTTTAATGTATAATTAAATTTTGTTTATCACACACTACCATGTTCCCTTTATGTTAGATTTTTGACTTTCGACTACAAAAGGACACAAACAAGAAAACAAGGTCCCCTTCCAATGTAGGCTGTTATAAAAAGAAATTACCTATAATATCAGGAAATGCTTCAAAAACAATAATATTAACAGAATTTAAATGCAACTTTTAATTAATGCCACAATGATTCTGTCTTATTTTTCGCAAAAATATAAAAAATCTGAATCTATAGTACATGTATATACTAATGTTAAATTGGAATATACTAGAGGAATAATTCAAATTCAACAAGACATGAGTATAGACAATTGGAAAAGACTTGCATATAAAACAACAGCTTTAAGCAAATTCCATCAATATAATACAAGATGTGGTATGATTGCCAATGGAACAAGTGTCAACTATCCAACAGAGTCCAAATGACACAGATTTAAGCAGCTATAGGTCACTGTAAGGCCTTCAACAATGAGAAAAACACAGACCATATTGTCAGCTATAAAAGGCCCCTCCAGTTATAGACACTTAGACAGACAACCAGATGGACAGACAAATGAATTGCAGTGAACCAACTATTCGATGAGTAGGTGTATAATAACTTTTTGTTGAAAACAGCCTGGAGAATGAACCAACACTTTTTACATTTGGAAGCAAGCATTATTACTGGACCACTGAAGCAGCCATATGCATTGTAACAACATATTTTTCTAGGTAAGGTTCATGCTTAAAATTTGAAAGCAATTACAATAAAATCTCAAAACAGAACAAATTTAGCATTGAATGGAAATAATTTGCATTAAATCAACTAAGTCTGAGCATCAAACATATGCAAGATCAAATTTGAATTTCCATTATTTTATTGCCAACACATTTTTCAGTTTTTCTTTAATTAACATGATTAATATAGTGTGATTGGAAACTTATATCAGGAGACATTTGAATATTTCATATCAGAAATCTATAGATTTGGAAATGTTTTTGGTCACTAAAAATGGACAACAGATGAATTTGAAATACATCCTGAACACCAAGTTCAAGGCCAAAAGTAATGATTTTGTTTTACCTCTAATGAAAAGATATATATGTATATTTAGATACCTTTTTGTACATGGCTTTAATGTACTCTGGGTCATCTGTATTTTCTGTTCTCTGTTTTGCAACACTTTTTTCCTATAAAAATATACATGTACTTTAATTCCCAGCAATCGTTATACATAATAATAAAACTATATAATAATATATATTACTCATATATCAGAGAGAAATTGAAAGTACAAGCAAATTAAAATTTTCCTACTGGTGAGAAGAAAGTGGAATTGCAAAAAATGTTTTGATTAAATAACCTCCCAACTAAATACCTTGAATTGTCTCCCTTCCCAGATGTATTTCACATTCATTACAATCACGCATATATAAATTCTGAAATCTAATCAATTTCATACCGTGTATCACTTATTTTGTCTAATGACTATTCCAAATTTAAATATAAGGATTGAGGGGATGTAAGGCACTTTTTTCTAGGACTCCCACCCATACAATTTTTATTACAAGTTTAATGTGTTAAGCCGTCGTTATTCTGTGAAAACTTGCTTCTTTCCCCACTACCCCTATATTATTAATAAATGGTGCCTTCAAATCCCCCATATAATATATTCTGGAAAAGTCATAATATATGAAATTATCTAGCTTTCTGCCAATATTCTAAATTTGCATGCCAGTCAGGAAGTATTGTTGCAAATCATACTTAGCAACAGTCTTTACAAGGCTAGTGTATATGGAACTTTGTATACACAAACATATTTTACAACAAATACTTAAATTGGTTTCATTCTATAGGATTTCAAATCAAGAGTATTTCAAATATGCTGGCCTTGTAGCTGCTGTGAAATAACAATAATTTGTTGCATGCTATCATCCATTTATGTACACAAAGAAATAACTATATGTTATCAGGGCATTTCACTAATTTTTCTGTAGCAAGTGAATATCCAAAAGCAGTAGGGAGGAGAGGGTCTAAACAGTTTTACTAAGAAGTTACATACTTGACAACAAAGTTGCAGGGAAATTAAAGCAAATAGACAGACACAAATGTTATGGAAGGCCCTGTGTTATTATCAACAAAACATACCTCTAAATGGAGCAAAGCACCTATTTTGTGACACCAAGTTTTATAATCATGTCCCAATACTGACAGTTTACGAAGGAAATCTCTCATCTCATGAACAATTAAATTACTGCAATCTAAATCATTACTGCATACATTAATCCAAGTTTCTATGACTTTTAGCACCCCACGGTGGTTTCTTGGAATTTCTGAATGAACAAACGAATGAGTTGTGGTTGCTGTTGGTGACCAAGGTGAAGTGTTGGAATGACCTGTTGTGGTTGACGATGTGACAGATGTCGTGGGTGATGGCATTAAATGACTGCCACTAGCTGAAGTATTAACTCCCTTTTCAGTGGCAACAGTTAGTTTTGATAATTCACCTAATTTTGATATGTCAAATGGTGCTGGAAATTCAAAATTTTGTGGACTCTGACTTGCACTAGATATTGGCGACGGTGGAGGCTCAAATCTTACAACAATGTTAGACAATGCATTTTCTTTTAGATCGGTTGACGATTCACCAATTAAATCAAAATGTAATTTGTCAGGAGTATGAATAGTCACATATGAGGGTGAGTTTGGCACTTTATAAACCTCATGGTCTGAACCTCCCCTTTCTCTGTGCAGAATGTCTGAACTGATTCCAGGTACAGGATCAGTGATACTTGAACGAGAGGCAAGATTATCTGGAACAGAACTTGATCTAGAAAAAACAGGTGAAACATCAGATGGTGTATCCATCACAAAAGTTGGAAGATTAATAAGTTCCCTTTGGAATGCCATAATATCAACATCTGATGTTGTCACTGATGAAGAACTGGTGCTATCTGTATCACTATCTTTGAGCGGAAGCGTGTCTGAACTATCAATGGCAACATTACCCTGTGATTTAGATAGTAAATGTCTATGCTGCCAGGCAAAAATATGGGCAGGATGATGGCTTTTATGGTGACTTTCTTCAAGAAAGCTACCCTTTCTGTCACTCTTCTGCTGACTGATTGGAATATTTGATTCAAATGGATTAGCTAAACTATGTCCCATTGCTCGTAATGCTAATGAGGTGTTTCCATTTTTTGAGTATATGCCGTTGTGTTTTGTAAATTCTTTTTCAGCACATAAAGATGATTGTGAATCCATATCTGAATCTCTGGGATTTGATTTTTTCTTTTTCACAACTTCCTTTTTGACTTCTGGTTCATGTTTTGGAGGTTCATTATGATGATGTAATGAACGTGGTGGGCACATGTCTATCTGACCAATATTAGTTGGCTTTGGTGGTTTTAACTTGGTTTCAGCATATAGCGACTTGCGTCTTATCATGTTTCCAAACAGTTTGTGAGCAAGCAGACGTAAAATTATAATTGGATGAACAATCATTGGTAGTCCCATTAACAAAACTTCACAAAATGGTTTTGAATAAGTGTCAACTATACATTCCAATGAGCAATTTGGTGAGATGACAGGCGACAAAATGTGATTGGCTGGATGACTGGGGAGATGATCAACAGAGGAAGACAACTGGTAATTTAAGGCAGAAATATCTTCATGGCTCTCTTCTATCACTGCTTCCTGGAATAGAAAAAAATCTACTATTATGGAGGTACTAAATTTTAAAGGTTTAAAAAAAAAATAATTTCTTTTACGGAAACTAATATCATGATTTAACTGATAGTTTTAATGCAACTTGCATATATGTATTTTCTTGAAAATTCAAATGAATATTTGCTTGTCTGCAAGTGGTATCTCATTTTAATTCCATAAAAGCTATTTCAATAAATGTGAGGTGTTGAAATCAAAATTGTTCTATATGCACTCAGGTTTGTTTGTCTGTCTATTGGTGTCTAACACCACTTTTAGCACTCTTAGCTATATCATCATGATTATGACTATTTTTTTATTGGTGGAGGTAGTCAGAGTGCCCTTGGAAAACAACTGACCAAAGGCAGGAAAACTGACAATCCTTGTCAACTAAGATAGGAGTCGAATGAACACACTGCAAAGAGCAGGGTTTGGAATTCACTACCTAATATTTCTGATAGCTCTTGATTAAATCAAATTTAAATTAAAATGACAACTTGCAAGAAAACTTAACATGTGAATGGTTAAATGCTGTAATAATATTACTATAAATATAGATATGATATATATGGGAGGCAATTTATTTTCAATACATCTTTTTCACTTAAATATCAAATACGACAAATAGATTGACCCTCTGTTTTTTTTTTAAAAGTTTTGCCCAAAATATTCAAAATAACTTAAGACAAGAATCCATTTTAATGTTTGTACTGTAACTATTTAAAGCAGCTCATCAATACAACCAATGATATTTTTGTTGTTTACATGTTGTTTACAAACAATCAAAATTAAGTGTAAAGATGGTGACATATAGATTTATAGTGTTTACAACTGACCAGAAGGGTTATCCTGGGTTAATGAGGTCAATGACCAAGTATAATATGAAAATAACTGTTTCTGAAATATGGAAGTATAGAAGCTGACCAGATGATATATATATACATAATTATTATCATGTTCACCTAAATTAAAATAAAAACAAGAATGTGTCCATAGTACACGGATGCCCCACTCGCACTATTATTTTCTATGTTCAGTGGACCTTGAAATTGGGGTAAAAACTCAAATTTGGCATTAAAATTAGAAAGATCATATCATAGGGACATGTGTACTAAGTTTCAAGTTTATTGGACTTCAACTTCATCAAAAACTACCTTGACCTGAAGCGGAACAGACGAACGGACGAACAGACAGACGGACGGACGAACGGACCGAACAAGGAACAGACGCGCAGACCAGAAAACATAACGCCCCTACTACTATCGTAGGTGGGGCATAAAAACGCTTATACAAAGACCCCCATTCTAAGAAAAATTTTGACAATATCCCCATTGATACCTTTCTTTGATTAAGGAAGAACTTGTTGATGGATCTATCTGACATATATTGTAATTAAAATGCATACGAAATGCCTAAAGTACATTCAACAGGATTTGTTTTAAGTGAATGCTTGTGATTCACTTTTCACTCTGTATATTCCATAGGGAAAATATAACAGGTTTTCAAATCAGAGTGCTATCACTATCAATTACTAACAATCATCATATTTCACAAGGAATCCTCTTATGAGACCCATATATATGTATTATAGTTATTAAACAAGCAAAGACTTGAAGAAATAGGAAATGGGTAGTGAATACATTATACCAGACCTGAAAGATTTGACTGTTCCAGATACAAACAGTATTTTTGGAAAATTTGTAGTAGAAATTGGAAAAAGAATTGAGAGAAATATCCCACAGAGACACTTTATCTACTTGTACCTGGACTTCTATGAGAAATGCAGTCCATGGTGTATACATGTATTATTATTGTATACCTGAATGAGCTCAGCAACCAGACCCTCCAAGGAAGCAGCTTGAAGGTGGTTTCGGCTGTTCCACATTTTGGCACGTCCCATTGCCATGAGCTCTATAAAACTGTCCTCTGGGGAGTGAACATTAAGATGGCTAGTTAATTCATTCTCTTCAAATGCTGAAACAAAACAAAAAGTTATCATTTATTGCATGTGAATAAGACGATGATGATAATAATGGATTGGAGTTTAACGCCAAGTGGCAATTATTACATACATATCAGTATGATAACATGTTAATATGAAATGTATATGGATCCTGCTGATATTTTTACTTATATTTTGGCATTGCACAAGATCATGAGTTTATCAGACTGTTTATGACGTCTTTACACTAAATCAGTTGGATGTGTACTGAATTATACTTAAGTCTGGGAGAACATGATTTATTTATCAGTTGTAATTGGCTTTGAACTAGCTTTCAGTAACTGGGAGTACTCTTATATTGTTGCTTTATGTCTATTGATTTTATGTTAACTGTTTATGTGCTTCATACCAATCTATTGAGTTAAGCCAATTGTTACTGATTTTTAGTTTGCTCTTATGTTATGCTGTTACATCACTCTCCCAGGTTAGGGACGGTTGAGCGCTCCCAAATATATTAACCCTGTTACATTCTTTATGTGCCTGTTCCAAGATATAAAGCTTGTAGTTCAGTGGTTGTCTTTAGTTCATGTCTGTTAAATATGTTTTTCGAAAACTGTTTTGTTATAAATTAGACCTTTAGTTTTCTCATTTTAATTATGTCACATTTTTCCTGTCATGTCCTTTTAAAGCCAACTATACGGTATGGGTTTTTCTCATTACTGAAGGCCATACGGTGACCTATAACTGCTTATATCCACTTCATTTGAACTCTGGTGGATAGTTGTCTCATTGGCAATCATACCACATCTCCTTATTTTTATATGGAATTTACTCTGCCCTAGACAGGCACACAGCCATATTTTTAACATGCTAGTTCAAAGGAAGGTATATCAATCACCCTATCGAGTCACATTACTCTGACTCGGAGTGAACCATCTTTCCTCTTACTCCTAAATACAGGAGGTTTAGTAGAGAAGCAGCAAATACCAGTTTTCAAGTCTTTGGTTTGACCTGGCCTAGGAAGGAACCAAGAATAGTACTATAAGAACACTGAGGCTATTACATGTAAATAAGAAAATATTCTTATTTTTTTGTTTTTGAATTATTCATTTATTATTCAAATTTTACTGTTATTATTTCATCGTTTTAGTCTAAACAAACTAATCTTCTCTTCAGATTTTTCTGTATTGCAACATAGAACTGTTCCATTCAAAAATACATGATATCTAGGGAATAGATTTGATTTGGAGACATAAATTATAAGCTTATACATATTATATGAACAGCAAAATATTTCATTACCACAAAAAGCAGCAAATTCAAGTTGTCTTCCCTGGGTGCCATGTTTATTTCTATGAAACAACCAAAACTATTCCAGGATTTAAGATCTCTGTAAACAATATTCCACTTATAAGTGTATGGGTCTATATTGTAGGAAACTAATACTGTCAGGGTGTTTCAGTGTGCAAAAATTTTGTTTCCTCTAATGTAGTGCACAATCAAAGAAAGATAACTCAAAGCTAAAAAGTTGTCTAAAGTGACCTGTCAACTGTTGAGGCAGTATGTGCACAAAACAGATTTCCACATTTTGCTCTCTTTGTTAAATATACGAAAAAATTTAAATGCATGATATAAAATTCCATTGTGGAAGTGACATACATAAATATTGGTTTGTTTGCTTGCTTTCGTCCATGCAAAAACTCATACTACAGCAGCTATAAAACAGCTGGCAAAAATATAGTTAGTAGATTTGTTATAAAAGTTAATAATTTCATAAATTGAACTTACGCTTCCTGTCAAACAAGTCCACTCTCCCACCAAGTTTATGTAGTAAGCCCATGTAGACCAGAATTCTAGCTGCATGGTACTTCACATATTTGGCATACTTAGTACTATGGTTAGTGTAGTACCATTCATCTGAGGGGAGGAGCAACTGCATCAGCATATCAGATATATCTACATCATTAAGAGGTTGGTGGTTGTTAGGATTTAGGGCTATAGAGGCTAGTGATTGGAGGAGAAGGCACAACAGGTGCTGAAATGGAAAATATCAAATCATAAAAATATTTTGGTAAGTTAAATTATTAAAAATTTATTATTAGTCTGTGGAGTTGGGTTTTTTTTTGTAGTGTTTTAAAGGCTGTTGTTGTCTTTTCATTGTTTTTTTCCATTTTTTCTGCTGTGATTCTGTCAGTTTCTCTTCCACTTATGAGTTTTCATTCTTCGAACATATGGTATCTTCAGCCTTTTTTTAAAAAACATGTAAATGCATAAATGTTTACATGCAAAGGTTTGAGTTGTCACAAATGTGGGTGTCAACAGAGGAAAGACCATAGCTGATCATAACTGAATTAATAGAACATTATTTCTTATTTGAGATTTTAAATTCAATATATGCATCATTCTGAATTGTTATATTCAGTTAGTTGTTTCTTTTTTGTATACACATGTATTTTTTGTTGGTTTCTGTATTTTTTTTTATTACTATGAAGTTTTGGCAGATGAGTGTAAATCAGAAACCAGAAAAACAATAAGTAATATTAACAAAAACATACAGGATCATGGTTTGGATCTAAGGCTTCCACCAAAGTCTTCAAATGTCCATCTGTAACAATACGATTTTGAACTTGATGTCCATGGCTCATAATGGCCAAAATCCTTGCGCTTAGAATCTGAAGACAGTGATGAGTACAGTGCCGCCATCTAGTACTTGGAGTACACTTTTGACGAGTACCAATGATTCTCTTATGCATGGTGATGTTATTATGTAACACACTGAGTATTTGACTAGGATCAGTTTGAGTTAAGATCGTCAGTGGTAGTTTTTTAATATTTGATGACTTTTTATACTCAATATCGTCATCTGATTTTTCCTGACTATTCTCATTTGAACCAGAATTTGATTTTTTACAATGCGCTGATGATATTCTAGTAAAAGCACTACTTGAATGACTGCTGGGTTCATCTGGAATATTTACACCAGTAGGACACGATGAATGTTTCGGACTTCTCTGGACATCAATACCAGATATATTTACATAATCAACGGATGGTGAATAAATGGCAGAAATTTCATAATTCTTATGTACAATACATATATCCATGACACGATTAATGATACTGAGAGCAGTGAAATGTAAAGATTGTCCCCCTTTGAGAATTTCCAACGCTGTTTGTAATAATTTTGAAAGTTGTATAAAAATTTTATATTTCCCATCCAGGCACTCATTTTTCTGCAGCTGTTCATAGCAAGTCTGAAAATAAAATAAAACCATCATGATGATTGTGAGCATGTAAAGCTAATTGACATGTACTTGTCTATTATTAGATTACTGTGTGTTGACCTCTAGATGTCTATTTTGTGTGTCATTGGGTTGCTGTCTCACCAGATTGACATAAGCCATTTATCTCCTTTTAATATAGTTTCAGTACAACTATTTTGATTTTCCATAAAGTCAATTATTGATTACATCCTAAAGGATTGAGGCCCTTGACACTTGATTTTCTATGTACCATATCCTTAACTTTTCTCCATCACTACTGAATTTTTTATACACTCTCCCAGATTTTCACATCTTACAATTATGATTTTAATTTGAACATGATTGTTGTATCATTGGAAACTCCCGTTTACATTTCATCACTGAGATTAATCATCAACATCAATCAAATCCTTGAGGAATTCTGTATTTGTTCTGAGATTTATCACTGTCATGACTGTAAAAACTGCATTTTTTAAACAAAAATAAAGTTACTGTTTTTTGTGCAATTCCAAAAGCAAAGATTAAATATGTCCTCTGGTGTTCCATGCTTCAAAGAATGCATGGTAAGTTAACAGAACCCAATCTCATTTAAAAGTACACCTCAATCAGGTTCAACTCCTTCCCCTTGATCTCCCATGGTTATTTTGAGTGGTGTGTATGCCTTTATGGATGTTAGGTACAAACACAAAAAAGATAAAACACCGGATCGAAAAAATGTCTGGCTGGCTCATTTTTATTTTGGAAATGACTGATAGATTGATTGGTGTTTGCTTTCCATCCAATTACAAACATTTCAATGCACATTTATGAAAATAACAAATTTACAATAAATTCAAAACACGTAGGTACGTTCTGCAAAATAGGTTGACAGTGATGAATGATGTAAATTTGTACTACCACTGGTAAAAAGAGCATATGTTGGATAGGGCAGGAATTTTGACTTGTAACAGAACACCTATCAACCTCTCAAAGAGTTGCAGCAAGTCTTTGAATTGCAGACAGCTAGTCATCTAAGGTCTCAGATTTAATGTCCCCATTCTGAAGGGATGTTGCTGGGGATTGATACATCCTGCATTGCTGAACAGATGCCCTATTTGGGATTGGTTTTACAGTAATTTCTCTTTTTTGCTCTTTTTTCAAGCCAAATGTACACGAGTGGCAATTTCAATGTTAATTGACATTTTTGAAATCAAATAGTTACTATCTAAATGTCATATTGATCTTTTTAAGCATTTATATAACCAGATAACAGCAGTTTTGTTTTAATCTCTGTTGTTACATTATATTTGTATGATATTATTATTAATGAAATGCTGAAAAAAAATGAAAGTAAACAGTTAACGTATTGTTTTCTACAATAACTGCCTTATCAGTTTTCATCAACACAAATAACACTAAATCCTAAGCTTAAACCCCATGTTTACTGATGGCTGAGAGATTCAGGTGATCATTATTCCACAAAGCAGTTTAGTTTATAACAATATACTTTTCAACTGTTTGTTTAAATTCATTGATTTCTACTGATATGACTAATTGATTGTTGTTTGTTTGAATGTCCAGTGGCAAATGTTTCAAGCATATTTAGGACAAGAACAAATTAACAAATAATACAATAGGTACGTTCTTCAAGGTAATTGACCACAGTGAAGGCTTTTTCTGATAAAACTCTCAATAGGGGTTTTATAACCACCTTGACTACCCATGAGGTCTCCTAGACATAACTCAAGTAAAAAACAATGTATCGTAACTTCTGACTAACCATGCTACTGTTATTTATAAATGATCACTAAAAAAAAACCTTGTTTCCATTCTACAGATGAGAGCTCTTAGCAGTCTTGCATTAAAATCCTGCTAAAGATATTGTGAAATGATTAGAAACTGATTTTTTTATTTATGTATAAAACTGGGATTGAAAAAAAATGGAAAATTTGATTATTCAAAAAAATTCTTTTTTACCAGTAGGTGAGAGCTCTTAGCCGGCTTCCATTAAATCTCAGCTTATTTGTAGTGTGAATTGATTAGAAACTGTTTTTTCTTTAGTGTATAAAACTAAAATTGACAACAAAAGAAAAATGTGATAATTCAAAAAAATATTTATTGCAGTTAATGGTGCATTTAATTATTTTTTGTAGAATTATCTTGTTGGTTTTTTTTTTATCATTAATATCTCCAAATTGAAAACAAACTTTAAACTTTTACAAATTGTGACTTGGATGGAGAGTTATCTCATTGGCACTCATACCACGTCTTCTTATATCTATCAACCATGGCCAACAAATTTACAGTTTGTATTTTACATTTTCATGTTAAAAGACATATTATTCACCATGTTTCAATCAATCAGTCAGAAATGCATTATTAAGTCTTGGATTTCATTTGTCATTCATCATGAAATTACAATCTTTATTAGTTCATGTTACACATGTATACACATATACCACCATTCCCAATCCCAATTTAAGACCCTCATCAAAAACATTTTTCGTGAAGGTTATTTAAATAAATAAAGCTCATCAACTTCCGAAAATTAATTATGGTTGGCTATGATTTTGAAGACGCTTTCCCTAAATTAGCAGTTGAAATATTAATTGTTCAAGCAATACCCAGAGTTCTATTTGTTAAATGGAAATTCGGATTCAAAAATAGATAACTTACATTAACTGAACAGCTTCCAAAAATAGGTTAATAATTAGATCAATGGCCAAGCCATAAGTTAAATCATGTTGTAACCATCACATTTTTATGAATGAGGAACCATTCTTTTCATATAAATATAATTTATTTACATACATTATCATATAATTTATGTAGCATGGGTGGATCCTGGGATCTACTAGCTCCTCCTGATGGTTCAAAATTTGGGTTTTGTATGCATTTTTCTAATAATTGAACCCCCTTACTCATCAGTGCTTTGCAACCCCCTTTTATAAAGGCCTCGAACTATCACTTATAAAAATTTAGATTCAGATGACTGGATCTGTTAAATCAAGATGAAAACATGATGAACCAACTTTGATAAATAATTCATACAATTCATTTCCATATGAAATCTAATATCCTAATTATAAGTACATCAGTTTAAAAGGTTCAATATGCAATCAAGAATTACAATAAACAATGATAAAATCACATTTCAGGAACTCGTTTTAGAATAGAAGCTAATGTCATGGACGTATTCCAGGAATCAAAAATAAAAGTTAGGTAAATGGGTCATGCCATAGATTTTTAGAAGATATTGCTTACAAATGGGGTATCTTAACTGGTACATGTCACTAAAAATCAATAAAATAATGCATAATTTATCTCTTTTATTTTCTAAAACATTATTTAATGAATTCTTTCAAAATAAATGTACATTTTTATAGAAAACAAATAACTTGGTAAATAACATTCTTAAAATTGCATTTTTTTGGGAGTCAAATAAGGCCCCCAATTACATACGGTCATGATGGTGCTTTAAATAGAAAATTCTAGGAACAAACATTTCTAATTGTAATGCCAAAAAGGAAAAGAACTCAACCATATTTTAATAAAGTGATATAAAATTAAATAATGAAAGTGAATTGTGTGGTTTAACATTAAAGAATTACTAAATTTATCACATAAATTTAAGTCCTGTCATTATTTGTAAATTATAGTTGAAGTTCTATAAATGTAGCTAATAAGAGTAAAATTAAGCCTTATTCAAGGTCATTTGGGTAAACATTTACTTGTATTTCTCCTTAGTATTTTCCTTATATTTGAATTGTCTATCTTTCCTGCCTTGTGGAAAATTAAAAAAACTGAATCCATGACACCCCCCCCCCCCCCCCCCCCAACTTTCTACCAACTCTCCCCACTTAAATATGAAAAGGGTTTGAATCCTGATGATTTTAGGCCTTCCCACTCGCCCCAATATTAAAAAGTAGTTTAGTCCTGATGAATAAAGGTCTGCCAACTGGCCCCACTTATATAATTATGAAAACAACAAAACCTGCTTTGATTACTTTCACTTACAAAAAGACCCTTATTATTAGTGCCATAACTGAACTTGCTAAATCAGCAATAGAAAATGACAAAAAAGGAAATGTGGACACTGTAAATTAGCTGGACATTGTAAATCAAAAAATAGGAAAAGTACATGCCCAGCATTGCCTAAACAATAAATTATGAGGATTGTTAAATATATATAATTATTTCAAATCCTTTACTTCATTATTTTTTAAAGAGATATGTTGACAGGGTATCATTTCTTTTTGTTAATTGTTAAACCTAGATATATATATATATATAAATAAGTCTAAATTGAAAACAACGTTCAAACCTATGATTGCGTTGGATAAAAACCGCAATTTTTATACGTGTGCATGCAAAACAAATTTCTTGGTAGAGGGGTCTAAATACAGCACAAACAACATTTTCCAAAAGACCAAAAAAGTTAAAAAGTATATTTTAACAAAACGCATTTGACTCACAGGTCGAACAAAGGATGTTCTCGAACCCTGCTGACTGCCCTTGGCGATTGCCAAATAAACGGATCGCAAGATGTAACAAAAACGATCTTTGTTATTAATTCAATACCAAACAGAAAACAATAAACCTGCAGTTTTATTTCAATTAGACAGATGTAATAACAAACACATCTGTTGTATTCTGTGTTTTTTTTTTAATTTTCACCAAATACCAGAAACAACGGCAAAATTGTTATTTTTCACTAATGAGATAAAACATTTGTAACAAAAGGCTATTTCTTATTAAACTACAGCCTGTATCACTCTGAAAATTTGCAGTAATGTTTCTCTTACAAATAGGTACTTATTGAAAAAAAAATCTCATTTTGCACCATGGACCTCATTTGGACCCAAAATTTCATGTTTGGTCACATATAGTGACCCTTATTACTTGATTTTCACCATAGTGCTTAATTTATTTCCTTGTGCAATGCATGTATAAATTTGATTCATAAATAATATAAATTATGTCTGCAATAAAAGACAATTTTATAATATATT